GAGAAGTGCGAGGACGACTCGAAAAGTAGAAACTCGTCCCGCGCTAAATCCTTATTCTATACTAGGGGCTCACTCTACTCACTTGGTTCCTACCAACACTCTTAAGAAAGAGGTCGAACGTCTCTGAGAGGCAGAAGTACTCAAGAAAGGTGTGAGATCGTTCGCAAGTATCAGAGGTGGGCGGGCACCAACTTTTATCATCTCCCAGAAGAGGATGGATCTGTACGATCCATCTCTGATACTCGGGAACCGAGCACAATAACGGATCAGGCTGAAGCCTTATCCTATACCCAAAATACAGGACATGCTCTTGAAGCTAGATGAATTCAAGTACGCCACTAGTCTAGAACTGAACACGGGACAATACCACATCGAGCTGTCACTCACGCAACAACCACCGTTACATTGCACTCCGAAGTGAAAGTACGAGTACCAGAGGTAGTAATGGGCCTATGTAATAGCCCCGACATCTTCCAAAGGAAGATTGGAACACTCATGCACTACTTAGAAAATGTCCGTTCATACATTTGAATCACGTCATCCTAACGGACGTCGATCTTGCAGATCGCGTTGAATAGTTAGATGACTTTTCCAAGACTTCAAGAAGTCGGAGTTAAAATCAACACTACCAAAGGCTTCTCGAAAGGAAGAATTTGAGTATCTAGACAATTGAACTACTCGAGAAAGAATCCAACCCTTAACTAAAAAGATAAATGATGCGATCAGCTACGCTCTTTTCCTCCACAGGAAGGAACTTCGTAGATCAATTGACCAAAATGAACTACCAAGGGGTGCTCCAAGACAGCAGACAAAGTAACCATCGTTCTAAAACAAGACGTGGGTTAACCAGTATCCAGGACGGTTTATGGACAGGGAAGGGAACGTGAGTCCCGCGCAAGGGTCGAGAAGAGCTCTTCCGGGATGAAAGTGGATTTCGTCGCAAGTTCACGATCTAAAAAAACGCCGACGTCGAATCGTGTGACAGATCTTGACTCCACTTATCACGTTCTGCAAGCCAAACTGGAAACACATCTAAGAACGTCGCCAACGACTTATCGAGAAAAACACCGATAAGGAGCACACGGCACGTGTCCCTCGTCAACACAATGTCAACGAAACTATGATTGATTCATCAGTATAAGAACCTTTAGTACGGTCAGCCAACGCACAAGGTCATCCTACCATCCACCCACACGACTGAATGTTCCAAATAACTAATGTGCCTGTACGGGGCTCGAGCATTACCTGACGCCTGGGAACCAGTAGCTGCAAGTGCTTCTACCATTCTTGGTAATTGCATAAGGTTTTGACCACCCATACGAAGGCCTAAGTCCCCTGATTGTAGGTTGCCCAATCTGTCGGACGCACAGTCTTACATCATCTCCGGAGAGTGCAATTAAGGAAAGCCCGCACTTTAATTCATATGTTTCCCTTGTCCGACGTTGATGTCGTGCCTTCTGTGAACCTTGTCAGGGGCGAATGCAATACACGGCTCTTAGCCTATTCGCGACTCGATCATAAATAGGGTTTGAGTTCGAACCTTCATTACGCTTTTAGCTCCTTCGCGTATATCGTCATTTGAGTCAGAGTTCTCAATGACCGCTCTATTCATACTATGTTGATTGATGAAACTTTGCTCTAGATATTTAGCAGCGTGGAGTACTTCCAATCTACTAGATAAATGCTAAAAGAATCTTCCACGCGTTACGTTTTTTGGTGATCGTGGACAGGTGAGATGTAGGATTTTGCTGTACTCCTGCAACCTACTCTATCACACTCTACAAGTCTCCCGCGTGAGGTTGAGTCAGATCTACGATCCTCTTGTTAGTTAGCTGGATCTCTCTCGTTGATTAGTCTTAATAGCTTTCTAATCACCACATACTTTTCATTCTCTCAAACTCAAGAACACTCGAAAGATCTATCGGAACAACTGAGCTATTAGACATTAGTGAGATAAAGAGCACTAAAGGCATGGCCGACCGTTTGATTGCGCTCCCCCAGAGTATGATGGTGGCTTTTCTTTTCTTGTCCTGCATGCATGGAAGCATTTTGCCAAAGTCATTGACTTTCTGATCGCCTTGAGTTCTAGCTTTTGAGCTTTCGCGATATTAGCTTTTCTTACCACAGCAAATCCGCCTAGCTCTATCTTCTTTTCTGCTGACAACATAATGGCGTAATACTCATTGCCCAAAGCTTCCACAATATTAGAAATAGGTTAATTAGCAAGTGCGCTACAATCCCTTCCTAAAGGTTCCACAATGTCAGGGAAAAGTGTACCAAGGTCATAAGCAACGTCCTTTTTCTTTACGTTGACTTCCTTCTTATGCCATTTTTTGTGTCTCAGCCAAGCCTCCTGGAAACACTGTTGGGAGCAAAAAAGGGCTGGAATTAAGCCTTCTTGATGACATTGTGGACAACACTGCTCGAATTCCTTGCCGGCTGGTTCTGCTGTTTGGCAGCCCCAACAGACTCTCCCTGCCTTGAAACCTGGTGGTATCGTTTGCATAAGCTCTTCCACTGCCAACTCCGTCATGGCAAAAGGTCTAGCTAGATAGTTGCATGGAAGTGGAACACAATGAAGCTTTTTTCTATTAATAGGTGCCTGCTGAAAGCCTGTTAACTGCCCTCAATGGACTGAGGGTCTTTCACACTTTATCGCTGTATGTATGTGTCATGTTGTGTGTGATTGTGTTGTTGTGTTCGCGGGTGATGTTGTTGGCGCGTGTGTTTGTTGCAGCTGTTTTCGTAGCTCGTTAAGGATAGGGATTAATCTTGTGTGTTGTGTTGGACACAGTACTCTTGACCCATGGGTACCGATAACACTGTGCCCGTACTGGCTGGCTATGCAGAATCGCTAGTGTGTCCAGATAAACACGGTGGAGGTTTTGCCAAAGACATAAGGGACATTTTCCTTGTTAGTGTTAAGGATAGGGATTTATATTGTGTGTTCTGTTGGACACAGTACTCTGGACCCATGGGTACCGATACCACTGTGCCCATACTGGCTGGCTATGGAGACTTGCTATCAATAGTGTGTCCAGTTGAACACGGTAAATGATTTGACCAATCAAATCTCTTTTTGACAGTTGAGGGCATCTGCCTCGGGCTGCTTGTTCTTCATCACCGCGGCCAACTCCGACACTCCCTTGCAAATACAGCTCTGCAGGACCGAATTCAAATTATCGAATTCCGTTTGCTTTAATGCTTTGAGAACAAATCCAGAACTCAATGCAACAAAAGACTTAACAGAGAGGATGACCGAAATAACAGAACAAAGAATGTTCCATTGGCGAGAGGCAACAACTTTGGCACATCGACGCGAAAGAAACTGTTGATACCATCGTTGATTGATCTTTCGCCTCTATCAGAGCTGTCGAAGCTATCGGTTTCAAAGCTACTAGTATGGCCAGGGGCTACCGGTATCTATCAATCTTAGTAATAACAGGGTTCTGGTACGACTCATCGACAAGAACGTCGTCAGTGGCAGGACTGTACTGAAGCATTGCTGTGTCTTGATGTCCCCCATCTACTGGCACCACGACAAACCAGAATCAGCAGCCCTGGGTTTAGCGGGTGGAACAGCATCAGCCATTTTGATCCAAACATTGGCCACTCTTTGCTTTTTCTTGGCTGCGGTGTTTGTTGTCATGACTAGCAGTAGCAGTGTAATCAGTGGTACCATCGTAACCAACAGCAGCAACAATAAAGGGAAGATGAGCATGAGCATCATGGCAGTGGTGAGAATTGCCATTGTGGGATCTCTCCTGATGCTCTGCCCTTTGCTAAGTTCTGTGTATCAGACCCAAAATTGCACGATGCAACTGAGGCAAGGTGTTGGCACGGGTGAATTCGATCTACCCCAAATGGCTGCTTCCCTTGGTCTGTCTTCTGGCGGCAGTAAAGACACTGTGGTACTTTCCAATGCAAAGGCAACCAAGATCAATGATGAGGATGAGACCACCAAACGGGATCGCATCCCACAAGGAAATGAGACCATAACCACCAAACCCACCAGAGTTGGTTCTGGGAAAAAGACTGGAGGTATCAACGCCAAATATCATTACTCCTGTCACCTGCAGACAAAACCACAGCACCACAAAACACTGGCCCGTATTATTCTCCTGCAACGAGATGGCCGGCGCCAATTACGAGACTTTGTCACACATTACACTCGTGTACTACCCTACAATTCGCTGGTTATTATGGATCATGAAGGCAATGATAATTATACCAAATCCTTACTTCAAGACTATGGTGAACTGGGTGCTCATATTTGGCGTTGCGAAGGTTCTTTCAAGGCCAAAGCTGCCATGTGGTCACAAGTGACACAAATCTATGCACAGGATTCTGGATTTGTCTTCCCAGTGGATGTGGATGAATTACTGGCAGTAAAACAAAAAGATGGCCATGGGCTACAATGGTCCAGCAAGGCCCTCAAAGATGCATTGGGATCCCTTGGCAAGTCAGGGAAACCCTACAAGATGAATTGGATTGAAAGTGTTCCCTCGGAATGCCATGTACACATGACCAATGTCCAACTAAGAAAGCCGAGAGAAGGCATGCATGCATCAGAAATGTGTGACATTCAATTTGTCAAAACCAAAGAGATTGGATGCATGGACAAGACGTTTTCCCGAGGGGCTCAATTTCACAAGACCGACACTGGAAATCACTATGGAGGTACTCGTAGATTTCCTGATTTGAGCAAGGCACTTTGTGAGGAAAAGGGACTGACCAATGTTTATGAGATTTCAACTTTGGCATTGATACACTTGAAAGAAAAGACATTTGAAGATTGGTTGGTACATGGTATGCGTGGAGCTACTGATCGAGGCTTTAATCGCAATATGGATATTGACTGTGATAAAGTGCAACAATCATTGCACTACTGCAAAAAGTGGGAAAAGATAACGAAAGCAAGATTCTCCCCTTATGAATTGCGCAAAGTGTATGTTGACGATGTGTGTCCCCAAACTGAGGATGTACTAATGCCTGTTCATGATACGTTTTGCTTTGCCTGAGGAGGAGAGGCATACTTGGAACAAGCGAGGAGCCAGCTATGTCGTTCACGCCAAACCGAACTGGATGTTCGGCTTTCTCTGCCGCAATCCACAACTGACATTACCATCGCGCATGCAAAAACGGTGATTAAATCGGATTCGCTCCGAGAAGGATGGGTTGGGAAGATTCACCAGGGACAGAGAGATAAGATGGAGACGGCATTTGACTTGGGCGCTTACTCCAAGCGTTCAAATCTATATTCTTATCTTGAAGTTGCTGTGCACAGGGAAGGTAAACAAGCCAACTAGCTAGTGTTAAGAACTTTCACACGGTAGTTTGATCCATACCCCGTACGGTACTCTTCGAACACGGACGGGACACATCTATGTAGCGCACTTCCATCCATTAAGCCCTGGCCTTCAATGCTGTACAACGTGCAAGGCCAGTCGTAGGTTACAGGATTTGATCATTCGATTCATTCCCTCTGACGCCTTCTCCGTTCTTTCGTCAACAAAAGACAAGAAAGAAGAAAACCATGGAACACTACATGTACCAATAAATGACAAAAACTGTGGACAGCAACGATAGCTTTCTTGTCAGATACCACGAAGCCACCAGGACGATTTTGCCACGATGCCGGAGGATAGCCGAAAGCAAACCATCGGTTCCACCAACTACAAGCAACTTTTGCTTCTTGGCTGCACTAACGTGGCTACTGCGAAATGATTTTGGGGGGCTGGCCAACATCGTTTCTTGCAGATCTTGCATTGCAATGTCAATTCCACTCTACTGGAGCACAGCCAGGATTGAGCAAGGCGTTGCCTTTTGCATAGCATTGTCTACGGGTACCGACCGAAGGAAGTCCGAAGGTCGAACGCAATGCTGCACAACCTTTCTTGCAATACGGTACGCCAGCTGAGCTGTCATTTCTCCCAAAGATCTGACGCAGTCACCTGAGCCAACACCAACAAGAGATGAAGGACATGGCAAAGCACCGTTGCTACCGTTGCAACCAACGTGAGGCAATATATGGCAAGGACTGCCAAACGAAAGAACGACGAATCCCAGCAACAAAGAGAGTCTAAGATTCATTATGATGGCCCAAAGAGCCTGGACAGTAGTGGCGGTGCTTGCAGTGACGCTGCCTCATGCCACTTTTGCATTCGCGCCAGGAAACCCCCACAGGCGAAGTTGTCTGCACCCGAAACTGTTGTTTGTGCGCCTTTCAGTGCAACAACAATCGAACGAAAACACAAAGGACAAACTAGAACTAGCAGGTGACGACGATACTGTCCAGCTAGGAACGCAGGAATACTATCAAGGATTCGTTTCGCGGTCCCTGGACGAAGAACCCGTGGAACGTGTGACAGGAGATGCCGTCTTGGGGCCAACCTTCAAGTTTGTTGGTGGATTCGCAGTGGTCCTAGTTGGGCTTGTTCTAGGTTTCATGGCGAGCAATGGATTACTCTAGTAGATGATGAGAAAGTCCAAGAGCACGCTTGACCAATACAGGCGAGAAGAAGGACGGAGCCATGAGCCATGCCAGTACATTGTCATGGGCGTCACTGTGAAGATGTAATCTAAGCACGCAATCATCTCTTCGGAATTCTAAATTTTTACTACTAGCTAGAATGAGAATGCCCTCAGCTGTCAAATCGCTGCAATTGACCACACAAATATCATAGTGGCTGCCGAAAGGAAAGACCCAAGCTTGGCTTTTCCTGGGCCAGTATCACCAAACACGTCAACGCAGCATTTACAAGTTCCACCAATGCATTTCAACCTCGGGCTGGTCCATTACGACATCATCAATCCCCCACTTTCTTGGATTCACTGGGTTCTTTCCCCCATAAAAGTCTGGAAGGTCTTGTTCAGAAATGTGCTTCAACAGCTTCTTTCGGTCCTTCTTGTTGGTTTTGGGATTAATGATATCAAACTTGGACCTGACACGCATGGGGAAGATTGGACCAACGATTTTCCAGATGGCACCAACGAGAGTGGGTGCATTGCAGACAAAGATGGAATCCAAGAGCTGGGGGTAGCAATCTTCCATTAGAGCCATGGCTCGTCCATCCCTGCGAGTGCATTCCATGTTGAATCCACTCAAGGAAAGTCCTCTGCAGTCTGCAAATCGGACCGATTTGGTTAGCCTTCCTGTGGTCCTGGTCACATAGTCAAGGCATTGGAAAGAGTACTCAGCAGGGTACAAGTATACTGCCAGCCATTGCTCTTCTGCAAAGTTTTCTACCGCAGCATTTGAATCCATACCACCAACATCAATGAAGTTCATCACACCTCTTTTGGAATCTGGAACGCAAAATTGAACACCATTTTTGTTCCAAACGTTCCAGTAGTTAATCAACCTGCAATCCTCAAGGTGTTGTGGGGGCTGGTCTCGAATATCCAAGTCGTCTAGGTTGTGCTTCTTTCGAAACTCCAGAGTGTACTTGGCTGCTTCAATAGCAGACTTGCTCTTCTTGTGGGACAACCAAAAACGCAGGATCCACAAGTCATCATGCTTGTTGGGTTCATAGAGAGGAAAATCTTCCAATGCAGCCTTGATTTTGGCAATCTTCTCAGAGTGCTTGAGGATCAGTTCCTTCACTGATGGTCGATCATCTTCAGGGCAAACAGGATTGATGGGATCAGCAATAGCCTCCTCAACTCCGTGCATCCATGGCCAAGAACTCATGTTTTCTTTCTGTTTGACTTTCGGTTGGTTTGAAGCTTCGAAGTTGTTTTGAATTGTGTGCCCAAGAAGAGATGGATTGCAATTTGGAGTTGGTAGTGCAAAAGAAGCAAGGATCATTCAGCCTTGAACGAGACTTGCTTGTATCGCTCCTCGCTTATGCGGGGCTGGATAATCGATGCGCATCCATGTTTGTCCAGGCCCGGAGCAACCGAAATATGTTGATCGTTGCTGGGGGCCAGTCGGAGGAGTGGCCATGGATGAGGGGTTTGACAAGCCACTGTTTTAGCGATTGAAAGCAAATTCGGCAGTTTGTGAGTAAGCTTTGTTTGAATTTTGGTCCCTGAAGCAGCGCGGTTACCGTCTCCATATATCTCAGCTGCTGGCTCCCACCGGCACCTCAATAGGCGCATCGTAGCTAACGACATTCACCGTGTTATCCGCGACGCAGTTGCTTTGTTTCCCGTGTCCTCGACCACTCCCACCCAAAATCTGGTCTTCAGGGGCAGGAACGATGCGTTTCGGCAAGCTCCGTTCCGGGCCCGGATGAAAATTTATTCGATTCGATTCATTCAAGTCAAATCGGAAGGATACAACTCTTCGATGCATAATCGAACTGGGTCCGTATCTTCGGACCTAAATCTAAAGCCTTAACTTTAGATAGAGCAACAGTGTTAGAGCTTTAGCCTCATTTTTCTCAGAGGATCACCTCCAACAGCGGAACCTTGCTTGATGAAGAGGTTGTCTGGTTTAGTGGGGAAGCTGTTGGCTTGGTGTTCTTATTATTATCCGTACCAGAAGCATGGATGCGAGCTTGCTAAAGCAAGATAAGGGGGAGACTAGCTAGAGTAGACATTCATCATGAGCAATCCTAGAAAAGGCAACAAGACGATCTATGATGGAGTAATCTTTCGCAAACGCGAGGGTAGCATCACCTTGTCGGGTGCTGGGTTGGCGTACCGATCTACAGATGATGCCGAATGCGAAGGCCAAGCACTCAAGTATCGTGCTCGATGGGGTGTGATTGCCAAATGGACTCTGAACAAACGATCGTCTCCCAAAGCCTTGATGAAAGTGATTGTCTTGTTGGAGGGGAATGAATTGGAGCATGTGACGTTTCGCCTGGCCAGTCGCGAGATTTTGGAAGAATTGAGAGACGACATGGATGCCCGAAAGCAACGGTTTGACGAAAAGCAAGCAGCCGCAGCAGAAGCATCGAATAATAATCAGGCTGGTGATGATCCGCCAGTCAGGGAGGAACCATCCGAGTCGATGGACGATTCGGCCTTTCATTCTTCTTCGGCACGTCGATGGAGTGGTGTGCGGCAATCCCAGGCACAAAATTATCAAGATTCGATGGTCTTTGAAGAATCCATTCGCTTGGATGGCAGTGATCGCTTGTACCATGACGATCCTCCTTCCGTAACTCCGGTGACAGCGCCTGCGCCTTTTGCCATTCCGGACGACCCATACTCCAATTATGGTACCAGCAGGGAAGAAGAGTATGAGCTTGTGGCAGAACGCAAGGAAGAAGAGCATGAACATACTATGGAAGAAGAAGAAGAAGTCAACCCAAAGCTTCCTCCATCATCATCAAAGTCCAGTAGTATGGAAGAAGACATGACCGATACCAACGAGCGTCAAGATGAATTGACAGAATTGCCCTCATCATTACATACTCAAGATTTCAGCAAGAATATGAGAAATTCCAGCCACCACCGCGAGCGAAATTCTTTGGAAAATTCTTGGAACGTTACCACGTCGGATATGATGGAATCCGACGATGAAATGAGTATTCCCCACAGCAAAGCACAAGAAGACGAAGCGCCAGATACTACTACTAATCGATACAAAACAGCAGCCGTCGTGGCAGGAGCAACCGGCGCCGCGGTGGGGATTTCTGCCGCGTCCCAGCCACAGCACAACAGCAACATGATCGTACCCGTACCCGTCGAACAGGACATTATGCACGTAGATTACGACCAAGAAACAGCCGAAGCACCCAGACGACAGCAACAAGCACTCATCGTGGCACCCCCGACAACAACCAATCAGCAGATAGCCATGAACAGTCAAACGGCAAATCCCATGACGGCATCGCAAATGTCTGGCCCCTTGATCCCCGTGATTGCCTCCCGCACCAATCTCAATGGGAGTGTCTATGGCACCAGCAAGTACTTTACACCCACGCAAGGTGCCCGGTTGGTAGCCGAAGCAGAATTTTACAACTTTGCGCCCTGTCACTGCGTCTGTTACGAATTCTGCGTCAATGAGAAAATGCGCAAACGAACGTACGTGCGCATTTACGAAAATCGAACCGAAAGCAATCTGCCCTGGGCACCCTTCTTTTGCTGCAGCGATGAGCGGTGCATGGAAGACAACGTGCAGGTCCTCTTTTTTGATCGCATGCCCCATCGATCTGGCATGTGCTGCAAGTGCATCCCCTGTGTCTGCTGTGGACCACCGGTGGTTTATGCGTTGCGGCCCGCCTGCTGTTGCGGCCTGATCAAAACTAGCTCCTGTTTTGGAGAGCAAATCATGTATGCTGCCTACGATTGTTTTGATTTGAGGATTTTTCTTTGCTGTGGGTCTCCCTGTTACACTTGCTGGAGTCTTCCAGTGTTCCCCGCTCTGGGTGTTTGTCAAGCCATACCCATGACCAACAGTAATGAACTACTGTCCAAGTGGAAGGGAGCCTTGATGCGGTATCGTGCGATCCGCAAGATTGGGGACGGCCAAGGGGCCGTATTCAAGGGAATCAATGACAACTTTTGTGAGTGTGACAGCGTCAAGGAGATATCTCCCGTACACATGGATCCCCGTGGCAGCATACAAGGGATGTACTTGGATCCGTGGGATGGCATGCAGCTACCTCCGCAGGCGGCTCGCATGGAGGATCGTCCATCCTCGGCCGTTGGGGGGAGCAGCAAGCAGTTGGCGCCGACTGCTCCCATGGGCAGCTCTACCATGGGGGAACCCCAGGCAGAGGATATGATACGTGCATAGTTTTGGGTTCCCCCCCTTGGGGGTATTGAAGGATTGTTTGACACCATGCGGTGCTTGAGGTTATCGGGGCGTCCAGCAGACTTCTCTACTGCCAGCCACTGGGACTGGCTACACAGAATACATAAATAGAAACAATCTGTAAGTCACAAACTTGAAGACTAAAAGGATCCTTCAAGCTGGAAAAGAATCTGAGCTATGACTATGCCAAGAGAACTCGGGAGCTTATTTTGGTGGCTCTGTCAGCTTGACTATCTATCTATCTCTTCGACGGATGCCAGATGCCAGGCTGAGATGATCTCACCCAGAGAGAGAACCGATCTCTATAACTCGACTCCATGACCCAGCAAGCATGTTGTCTTGGGGAGCCGCTTCGGGTTAGGTTAATCCACGACTATCTTTAGCTAGCCTTCCAGTTTGCTAACTTGCTTCTGTGTACTCGAGTAGCTCTAGCTAGCCTGGTGGAACACCTCCACTATCTCTCTCAGCTAAATGGGAGAGAAGATAGATCTTGTACTACTAGTAGCCAAAGCAAAAGAGTTGTGGTACCGCGCGCTTCAACTTCAAGCAACGCATGCAACCGGCCCTGACAAACCGTAGTGGCCACTTCTAGCTAGTCTATGCACATATTATATGTAGCTGCCTGTAGCTACCAGCTAGCTAGTAGTAGAGATGGATGCAGCTGGGGTCTTCGGTAGCTACCGGTAGCAGCTGCTAGCTAGCTAGCAACACCAACCGCAAGTAGTTAAAGCACCGATAAAGACGATAGAAAGTCGATCGCAAACCACCAGATCGAACATCCCAAGTGGTCTTCACCAGTGACGGTTTCCGAGCAGGAAGGGTGTCCAAAGCCAGTGATGACTACATGTAAACATGCAACCACCGCTCCTCTCTGCTCTAACGATCTCCTGCCTCTTTTAGCTTCGACCTGATGCACAAGCAGGTACTGTCTAGGTAGCAGCCGCCTATCCTAGTTCATGCTAGCTAGCTAATAGCTCGAAGCAGTCAGTTTGATTTTGATCAGAAAAAAGGTCACTTTTTATGTATGTAGTATGGGTGGTCAAAATAATAATAATAATGTATCAAAAGGTATGCGATCATGACGGACGGGAAGTTGCAGACAGGCAGGCAGAGAAAACAAAAAAAGGTTTCAAAACGATCCAGTTCAAAATCGCCTCGTCTAGTCTAGCAGTCAACTTCCTCCGTCACAGTAATCGGTGTTGATGTTGTGGTTGGCATCTCAACAAAGTCATCCACATCGTAATCGTCGGATGATGACGACGAAGACGATGATTCTTCGGTTCTTGGAGCTTGTTCGATGCCCACCACGGGTGTCTTGCTGGTAGTACTAACAGCCGGTGCGGACATGCGTCGCAACTGTACTAGCTTTTGATCTTGAATGAGCGACATTCGCAAGACGGCTTTTTCCTTCTTTTTCTTGGTTCGATGAGTCGTCTTGTTGCGGACGCCTCGGAAAATCTTTTGTGCGAATTCTTGGGCACCCGCCAGCTGCAGGGTTTCATTGGTCCGAGTGCGTTGTCCGCGGGCAATGTTGGCCATTTTGACGTATTGCAAAATCTCACCCCGCGAGTAGCCACTGTCCCGCAGCATTTGCATGCGCATCTCGGACGGGATATTCAGTTCTCCGCGGTCGCGACGAGTTGGACGAGAGGTTTCGTATTCGTCAATCCCAATCGTTTGTTCGTCTTGGATTTCCCAATCCAACTCTAGACTCACGCCGATCCGGCAGCCGGGATTGCAGCCGGGGCGTCGGGGAAACTCGCGAATGTGGAGTTTCGCAAAGGAGACAGTGTGAGTGGCGACCGCCGTGTTGGCTTTCAGCTTGTCGTCTATGGACGACTTGACGCTGTCGGCTTGGGTCTTGACAATCAGGACCGGCGTCAGCTTGGGCAGTAGAGACATGGCAGCAAACTCATTGTGAGTCATCTCCAAGAGAGACGATGATCTCTTGGTACTGCTACTGGTAGTCGTGGAGCTTGAGTTGCTGTTGGTGTGCTTGAGGGACTTTTTGGAAGTCAAGTCGTTGACTCTCAGAGAGCTTTCCATCAAGTAGTCAGAGTCGCTAATAGATGATACGCAAGATGACAGTTCAGTGGTATAAGAGTTTGTGCGCATCACAATGGAGTTGCGTTCCTTTGCCGGCATGGTGCTGATAATGATGATGTGGAGTGAGCCTGATGAGGGATGCCAAGAACCCAGAATAATGAGAACTTTGGCTAGGCTCTTGTTCGGTCGTTCTATGACGGTGCTGGTCAACTAGTCTACTACAGTGTACTTTTGATGGTGGATAATGCGTGGCCAAGCAAGAGAGATTGAGAGATGGGCAACCAGCAACTTGATCGATTGGAATTTGTGGAGAGAGAACAAGTTCTGCTGCGATCTTACTCTTGCACATTGCTACCACAGCATACTAATACCGTACCACGTAGAATTTCACTGTTTCATACGATCTTCCTCGACCAAGGCGGAAGGAAAGATGTGGCTGCGAGGTCGTTTGTGAGAACTTTTAAAAGCCTTAACTTAAGCCTGAGCCTGGAGCTGTTTCGATCGGATTCCTTTAGGCTCCCATCAGTCGCTGTGACTGTTCCTTCCGCAAAAAGACCACTTGCACACTCTTACGCCAATTTCTTTAGACTTCAGAGTACCAATACTGTACAGTACGGTATTGTACAATGTCATGCACAATAATAGGAGGCCATTCAACATAGTATAAACAGTAAACCTCCTGGTCATTGGAGGATGTTGATTATTTGGTACGCAATACGCAATGTACCAACTCAGTCTGTCATCCCCCCATCGATCCGTCATGATGGATGGATCATTGAGTTATTGAGGGTTACGAAAAGACGAAAAGGCTTTGGAAACAAGCACTGCACTGCCAGCTATTAATATTGGTATGTGAATTTGTACATAACCTCTTTTAGAGAGACATTAGCATTCAAATTAAAGTAGAGGGCTACTGTACCTTTCTGGAGGAACATTTACACCTCTATTTAATTAATGATTGCCTCAAAGGCCTTGTACACTGTATTTGAATTTACTGCTTTTCAAAAGCCTTTCTCAATTAAAAGGCCTTCTCCAACAAAAGGCAGCCTATATTAAAAACTTATTTTTGTTTTTGTTTTTGCCCCTAAAGCTTGTGCGGCGTTCCCCATAACGGTACAGTACCTGGTGCTGCTGTATTTGCGTCTTCAACCGCAACTGTTTTTTCAAGTGACCCTTATATCATTTTTAAGATTCTCCAAATCGCGCTCGTGTGCTCTTGCGTACGGCTTGCACTGGCTTAAACACCCTTGCCGCCATGCATCGCACGGATACCGTATTGTAGCCAGACGTTTAACAGAAGACCGCTTCAACTAACTACGATACCCTACTCGCTGGTTTCTCACTTCCTTTTTCTTATAAGTAAAACTCCTGGTCAGTAGGCTAAAAGCCTTCAGCCTGAATGGCCTTCTTTGGGACTCTCTTTTAAAATAAAAAGCCAATGACCCAAGAGCGAACAAACGGTTGTCTACACCGTGCGTGTAGCGTGTAGACCGCGCTCAAATCTTTTTGGGCCGTACCGGTACCCATGTTTCAAAAGGCCGGTATTTGCATTGAAGAGCACAACATTTGCAAGATTGCAAGTGCATTTCCCCATCAACAGTCCAGCTACCGGTAGCTACCTCTATCATACCGTAGACATAGCTCCCAGCGGAGGTACCTGGTACCGGTAGCTGAAACTGCAAACAGACAGAGCTGAACTTTAATGAGTTATCAAGCTTGTCGTGCATTCGTTGGCCTTGTTCTCGTTGTAGGAATACAACTGTGATAAGCATGACTTCAATTGAACTGTGATGTGTGATGTATGCAGAAAGCCCCCACCGCAGGAACCCATCTGGAAGCCAAGAAGGGTTGTCCGTTGCCGCGACGCGCTTTGATACTTGGCTGTTTTTCTGGGCTACTAGCTAGCTACTGTAGTACCCCAGAGAGTTGACGGCGTTTGCTGGGGCTACTAGATACACCAGCCAGAATCCAGCGGTGGCTGCCGCAACCTGATCAGTCGCTGCAGCACAACCAGCAACCAGCCAATCCCGAGAGCCATGAACTGGATACTAGAGTACTTGCACCAGCATTGAAAGATGATGTGAGTTATTGTATTCGTAGAAGAACTCATCGTATACTCATTTGGCCTAGCTTTTCACTTTAGTACAACACCAGTCTAAGTCGGGACCACGCCGCCAACGCATGGCTGCACGAAAAGCCTTCCGGTATTGGTGGCTTCATTGCTGTTGCTGGTGAGTTGGCTGCCTGACTTTGCTGGCTGGTGAGAAAGATATTGGAGCTGCTCTGGCTGGCCATGTTAGCTGTTGTTAGTTTACCTTTTTCCTCATCCGATTTGGCGAACGATCTGGTTCTATTCGTCTTCTTCGCTAGCAGTTACTGTTGTACCGCTCACGTTACCGTTTTATTCTCATGGTTGGGTTGGGTCTAACGATCCCAAGCAAAATTGGCGTTGAGAAGAAGAGCGGCTTGTTGAATGATCAATCGAATCTCTGAGAGCGGGGGCGACATACGATAGTACATGTCGCTACAGCGAACGAATCACCCAGCTGGCTAGAACATGTCTGTTGTGAAGCTGATGCCTCATGTGCTGTCCTTAAGCAGCAACAACCACGCCCCAAACCCCCACTGCCTCTCGCACCTCTGTGACTCATATCATGAGGGAAGGAAACCTTAAGAATTTGAAGCCGTAGCTAGTAACATGTGCCAAGTAAAATTGGGAGCTCGAAGGCAAGACTAGAGTGCAGTGGCAGTCTGCCTTCTGATCAATCGAACTCGCTGCTGGCTAGAGTTTGTTGTGGCTGTTCCTTTTTGCCAACTCGCACCTACGGTAGGCATCCAGTTGCCCCACTTGCGGTGTTCCTTCGGTGAATATTGAATCAAGCCCAAATTTTCTCAAAATTTTGGTAATCCTGTGAAAGAGTGCCCTACACGCGCGATTTTGGGACACGCGGAAAATGGTTCAATGGGATTCCAATAGAAAAGATCTATTTTACTGATGGTCCCTGAGCATATGTTCCGAATTCATTCCCGCGGGTGGTGGGGGCTAAGATCTTTCGATTCTTTCGACCGTTGCTTTTGTCAACAAATTTGGTTAAGTGTTCCCTCGGCAATGGCGTTAACAAGATCATCAAAAGAGACAGCAGAATCGTAGCCAAGTCGCCCACACCGATACTCTGCGAGAAGGATGACTCCTTGGTCTTCTCTCTCATAATTCAGATTCCCAAAGCCTATCATACTACAGTAGCTACCAGTACCGGTTGTAGCAATCGATTGCCGTCCTCACTTGAGCAAAGCACAAAACAAGAAAGCACCTCCACAGTTCACAGTTACGTAAAAGAGATCCATTCAGCTGTACAACATTTCAACTGCACTCCACCATGAAAGCAACCCCAACGCGAACGATACTCTTCATCTGCGCCCTGCTGGTCTTGGTGGTTCCTTCTGCTGCAGCGAGTAGAGTCAAAGGTCTCAAAGGAGTATCTCAAAGCGCTAGCTCGGTCCAAACCAGAGGATTGAAAAAAGAGAAGGAAGAAAAGGCCAAGAAGACGAAGAAAGCGCAGGGTCCCTCCACACGTTCCTGTAGATCCAGTGAGTTATCGTTTGCTGGCAACGGGTAGTATCAAAGTTTGTTGTCGAACCTCACCCATGCTCACACCACTGCTCTTTTTCCAACATATAGCAACCAAGCCCAATGAAGTAACATTTGAATGCAGATCCGACACTGGCGACAAGAAGAAAGCCAAGGGTTCTGAGGACCCTGAGCAGGAGACTCGTGGGATTTTCCTCACACCAGATGAAGAGATCAAGGATAAGATCAAGTACCGAGTGAAGACAGACAAAGAAAGCATTCGGGTGAAAATTGAATACGAGAAAGAAGTTGAAACGATCGACACTTCCACCGAGACAGAAACCGAGTTTGAGTTGACCTTTGATAGAGTTATCGAGTATGTCAAGAGCACCCGCGAACAGGTGTCAGGCGGAGCTGAGCTCAGTGAAGCCTATGACTGGGATGCCGATGAAATTGTTCAAACCATTCCCTTGAGACGGTGGGATGATATCCCAGGCATCACAACAGCCTCTGATGATGTGTTTTTCTTCACCGCCTCCACAACCCTTCCTCCACAAACCGGAGCGATGCAACCGGGCACCATCCAATTCAACTACACCATCAGTCAAGCAGATCTAGGGGAACAGATCACTGCCAACTCGATGAAAATTGATGTCCGCATCCTGAACTTTCCTTGGACCCGTGATGACTCGTACGTGGCCCTGATGAGCACAGTCGAGTCCAAGAAAAGGGTTGAACTGGAATATGACAACGATGCAACTGTAGGAAAAGGCAAGACCAAGGAGACCGAAGACGTCGTCATTTCTTTCTCAGATGAACTGTCCGACATGGGAGTCTCTGCGTTCGGAGCCTATACATGGGCCCATGAAGCCGAAGTGACATCGGATGCCACGGTCGCGAGCGCCCGTCAAGGTGGCCGCCGGGACACCGAAGAAGAACAAGAAGAAGTTGATGGACCGGAAGTCGTGGAGGACTCGAGTGCAAAGCCTGGGGCTGACCCCGCTGGTGGCCCGGCTGGTGGTCCAGAGCCCGCTGGTGGCCCTGGTCCAGAGCCCCCTGCTGGACCCGCCGATGGTCCAGAGCCCCCTGCTGGGCCTGCTGATACTCCTCCTGGCATTGCCGATGCAGTTGCGAACGGCAATGGACCGGCTGAAGTAGATGTGACGACCGAGGGCTCCACCACCATTGAAGTTATTGCCACTTCACCAGAAGCTACAGGAACCGAAAATAAACAAAGCATTGCTTATTCCTTCGTGGGGGACGCGGCACACTCCGCTAAGGAAATCTTTTGGGATCCACAAGCCGGTGTGAGCTATGAGGAACCCGTCGCAGAGTCAGCAGCCGGTCGTCCCATGTCTACCATTGGCTTTGTGGGAAGCCTTGCTGTTGCACTTGTTTACTTGGCTTGGTAGATTCCTGAACGAGGAACTACAAGATCTTGCTTGCATGTAAAGTTCAATAGAACTGTCATTATAGATTGATTGAATCATTCGCTGCGTTCGTTCTAAAAGGGAAGCTAACACATACAAAACATAAGCATTAGAGACAAAACCAGCGAAAACTTTCTCCGGCGCTCTCCTTCCTTTCTTCTCTTGGCGCTCGTTGTCCCTTTCTTTGCACACACTCGGCCAGAGATGCCACCTAGCTAGTTAGTACCTCGAGTGTGATACCTCCAGCTAGATGCAACAATTTCCGTTGAACACTTCCTACTCGTACAGTGTGCTTGCTATCATGATGCACCGAGACGAAGGAAAGAAGCAAGCAGGGGGTCGACCACTGCAAAGACGTCTTGCTTTCTTGCTTTGTTTCTTTCGTCGAGGGCTTTCTACATACTTCAAGTTAGGTCTTCTGTCACATAAGAAAAAGCAGCGCTCTGAGGATCCATCAGAAGCAGAACGTGCCGTCAACCACTTTTCTCGCAATCATTACATACATCGTACCACTCCAAGCAAACTTTTCAATGAAACCTGAAATCTGCTTCTTCATCTTCTGCTTGGTCCAGGTCGTTCCGAGAATCCTCTGAGAAGCAATTGGTACCGATACCCTTCCGTGTCTTTAGTCGGTACCACACCGTAGCTGTTCCATACAGCTGTTCTTGTGGAGATTGATACCGAGAGCTCTGTTCCGCAAGCTTCCCCAAGAAGGTTGGTGCCATCGCAGTGCCATCCCAAGCACAGAAGAGAGCGCTTTCGCTGAAACCTTGTTGGCTTGGGAGCCGACAGGACTAAGCTCGACTCAAAAAAGTCCCAAGATCGCGTCGGAGGAGTGACAGTCACTTTTTTTCTTTCGTACCTCTCCGAACCCCTTCTTTCCAGTCCCCCACCTGGCCGAAAAAAGGGGAGAAGTGCCCAGGAGGAGTGACATTGTCGACCCCTACCGGTAACTAATAAGTGACGGTCAAGACAAAGATTTCGTTAGATCTCAGAGCCTGGATGAGGGCGGCGCAATCTGAAGATCTCCCCAAGCCCGGCTCACAATTTCAATTCCGACAAAAAAGTAAAAGACAGAAACAGAAGACAACAAAGCAAGCATCAACATGAAACTGATATTCATCTCCATGTTCCTACTTGCTTCCCTGGCAGGAGCCGAGAAGCAGCCCCTCATTTATGATTCAGACTACGGTCCGTTTGTCGATGACGTATTCGCACTGGGTTTGCTGGTCAATTCTTTGGACTTGATTGACTTGAGATTGGTGCTCTCCACATCGGAACAGCCGTCGCTCTCAGCAAAATGCATGGCTGCGCAGCTCGAGTTGAGCGAGAGGCCTGACATTGAAGTTGCTGTGGGCTCTTCCTTCCCACCCCATGAGGAGCGTGGAAGTGTCTGTGCCATTCAGGGCTTGATGGGATTTGCCATGGAGCCTGAGTGTGAGAAATATGATGGAAAGCCGCCCATTGAAAATGGAATTGAGTACATGGCCCAAATGATTATTGACTCTGGACGTGACGATTGGTGGTACCTTGTTGTGGGCGGACAGTCTTCCCTTCGGGCATTGATTGAACAATACCCCGAGGCGGCAGAAAAAATCTCCACTCTCGTGATAATGGCAGGAAACTTCTGTGCTGACTTTGAACCTTACCCTGGCGTCATGGCACCTACTGATGAGACCAACATTGGTTGCGATCCCGCTGCCGCTAATTTCGTCCTTGATGCCAACAACGTCCAGTTCGATAATGTGAGTGAAAATGTCTTGTACCAGTACCGGTACAATCATTGGTTCAGATCTCATGCTGGCAGCATGCCACTCATATGTCACTTCCTTTTCCTGCATCTCCCAGGTCTACTACGTCCCTGTTGTTGTGGCCGACCACATTGGGGGTGAGGACTACAAGATTTTCACAGAAGCCACCGAAAGCAACGCTGCTGCCAATGCCACTCTCCAGTGGTACAAAATCTGGTCCGAGGCAGGACGAGCTGATGAGTCACTTTTGATCCATGCTGAAGCCATGAAATATGATCCCGACACTGAGAGTACCCCCCAGTTTGACCCTGTCGCAATCATGTTGGTCCTTGAGCTGCTGGCTGATACCTGCGACGAACGCATTTCCCTGATCGAGTTTGATGGCATTCACTTCTTCGAGGCCGGTGAAGGTAAGCTTTTGGTGTATCGTGTGATACGATCTGCTTCTGTTGCACACGCTTGCCTCACAATCAGCGTCATCCCATCAACCTTTTAGACGGCCTCAAGCCCTTCCCCGAAGCCCCCCGCTCGGCCTTTTCCCTCCACACTGGAGTGGACCAATCCGCCCTTCCCGCTGAATGCCCCAACATTACAGAATTCGTCTTTGATCCTGAATCCACACCAGAACTGGAGTACCCTGTCAAGGTTGCTCTCGGCTTCAAGTCTGCCGAAGCCAAGGCTGCCGTCTATGAGGACATGGCTCGTCTCATGGCCGGACAACGCACCTTGTGCGGCATTGATTTGTCGGATACAGAAATCGACGTCGAAGGCAATGTTCTGGAAAGCAGCAATGACTCAGGAGCCACAACCGCTGGATTTGGCATGGTGGCCTCTGCGGTTGTTTATATCCTCGCCATGTTGATCTAAAAGAAGGTTGTCTGGCGGGAATTGGCAACCAGTTTTGAGCTTTTTGGACTGCATTTTGCACTGTACATGACTGCGGAATTATTATAAAAGCATGAGGTTTTAAAACTAGAGTGCTTGAGCCATGGAAGAGGCAACATGCGTGTACAAAGTGAGAAAACGATGGATCGGTTGTGGATTGTATTGTGTGCGTGCCCATGTAGTAATAATGTGTCACTATGCCCCCTCTTGTCCAAACATAGCAGTCCACTCCTTGTAGCGATTGAGCTCCTCTTCGGACACGGTGCTAAAGGCATGTTTCATGACATTTTCAAAGTCACTGGAGCGAACCGGTGGAGCATCCAACTTCTCCGGTGGTACATCCCAGAGTGTCATGCGCTTGGCACCGCAATATTGGCAATCATAGTCCGTGTCGGGTGGGTCGGTGGTCAGTTTGGGTGTACAGAGGTAACAGTTGGGGTACTTTTCACAAGGCCAATACTTGTCGTTTTCATCCTGGAAAAACTGTTTTGCTTGCTGACAACGTCGGAGGGGCTCCATGAGTGCTTCCTTGACAATAACTTCAATATCACTGCCACTGGCTCCTTCCGACATTTTCCCCAGTTTGTCAAAGTCAGCATCTGTCAAATTGTTGGGTGTATCACCGGTATTCATTTTGAACATGTACGTTCTGGCGCTGGGTCCTGGCAAGGAAATGTACACTCTCTTTTCGAAACGTCTTCGAATGGCCGCATCCAAATCCCAGGGTACGTTGGACGCCCCGAGTATCAAGACGGATCCTTCGGCCTTTCCGACTCCGTCCATTTGGACCAGGAACTCAGTCTTGACACGCCTGGAGGAGTCGGCTTCTCCTTCGGAACGGGTGCCACACAGAGAGTCTACTTCATCTGAATGAATACATGGCAAACACAAGGGACTAATCAGTATCTTGTTGCTTCTAGAAACAAACAAGTAGAACAAGCATTGCTGGCACGTACCAATAAAGATAATGGCCCGACTACCTTCACTTTCCCTTGCCATTTCAAATAGATTTCGAACTAGCTTTTCGGATTCTCCTTGCCATTTGCTAATCAGATCGGCACTGCTGACGCTAAAGAAGGTACTGTTACTCTCGGTTGCCACAGCCTTGGCCAGAAAGGATTTGCCTGGTTGGTGACAACATGATAAGAAAGTAGGTGAGTGATAGAAGTGATATACCCTAGAAAGCAGTAAAATCCCAAGCATCACAACGCACCTGTTCCTGGCGGTCCAAACAGTAGAATTCCTTTGAATGGTTTCCTTTCTCCAACAAACAGCTGTGGGAACATGACTGGTAGAATCACAGTCTCTTTCAGAGACTCTTTGGCTCCCTCCAAGCCTGCGATATCGTCCCATCGGACATTGGGCTTTTCGGCCACCACGGCCCCCGCCAATGCCCCTCGTAGTTTTTGGGTTTCCGCATCCAATTCTTTTCGTTCTCCTTCTCCTCCTTCTTTGCTCGGTGATCCACCCGATTGCGGATTGCTGCTTTCGCTGTCATTTTGATTGGCGCCGCTTTCCTTATCAATATGGTCTTTGAGTTCTTCGGCCCGTTTCATGTAGCCTCCCACGCGTTCCATGAGTAGCTTTTTGCGGGCTTCATTCTTTTCGTACTTTAGGCCGAGCGTCAACCGTTGCAGGGCATCCTTGTACAAATTCAGAGCCGCTTCGTACTCATCGGGTTCCTTGGCCGCATTGTCGGCTTCAATGGCCTTTTGGACCAACCCGACGCCTTGTTCAATAAAGTTGTTTTCGCTCATTATTGTTCGTTGCTGATGATACCGTACCACCAAATGCTGTTGTAGGGGATTACAGGTGTGCTATTGGGTGTGATGGGTGGCAAGGACGACACTCCCAGCAGCAGCTACAGGCCACCAGCAGAAGAGACAGATGATGATGCAATAGAAGTGAGGGTTCGCTTCGAATTTTTTTGGAATGAAACGGCCGCTTCTTCAAGACATCAGTGACTGGATTGACACTGGGGACTGCTCATGCCGTGCTCTTTGGAAAGTTCGGGGTCCACGGAAGCGGGGGCCACGTCCGCTTGTTTGTGCAGCCCTTGCTTTTGTAGGCTCGCTACCTGTGAGCATCCAATGATGTGGGCCTTTTGCAGACTTCCCTACTGGACAGCTGGGACACTGCAGCTCCCAAGTCATTGGATGTTTCAGAAGAGCCATGAAAGTGGATTGTCTACTGTCACCACCGGGCCACGTCCCAGTTGGCATCTTCTACACATACAAATGAGGTCTTAAAACCTGCTGACCAAGCAGTGGTTGAAGCTGGTTGGTACTATTCAGCACTACTGCTATTTTTCTCCGCAGCTGCTTCTCCGAAGTCTTGAGCTCCTTGAACGACTTCCGAGAAGCTTGATTGGCGCAACTTCACCAAGTTCAGCTGACCCAGCTCATCGATCGAAGTTTGATCGATCACATCGCCCGCTTGAAGGCTCAGGAATAGGTCATAGCCATCAACAATATAGCCAAACGGTGCATACTCCCCATCAAGAAGCTTTCGTTTTTTGTCTGGAAGGCTCTCTTTCTGCAGGCTGAAAAATTCAGATGACCCTCCGTTCAAGCTTTTGTCGGGGTGATTCAAAGCGACCAGGCCAGGTATGTCGAAACTCAGTAAGGATTTGCCATTTTCACTGGAAACAGATGCTGGTGTGTTGGAAAAGTCCCATCTGGTGCCAGAGGGTGAGTCATCTTCAGCGTATGAAAGCTTGGGTGCCGTTTTGCCTTCCCCAACACGGATGATCTCCAGAGGTATACGGCGTAGCCTTGGGTGGCATGATGGTGGGAGCATGATGTCAAATGAGCAAAAAGGAGACATTTCTGCAGCAAAGCCTACGATTTGGTCACATACCTAGCTGTCAGGGGATCATAAAACCCTTCTTGAAAAGAGCCCAACATAGGTATAGTTGCCACTTCAAACTCCTTATCTGATCCCACCTTCTTCCGTGTCAGCTTGATGGGGAGACCCGTGTAAAAGTTGCGGATGGATAGGTCAACAAAGTTTCCTAAGTAACCGAGAAGCGTGAAGAACAGATCTTCTTGTTAACCTCGATCAAATGCACAGGGTCCAAAACAAATCACCCAGGCAATACCATACTTACCAGCGGTGATGGGAGCAGCAAATCCATCTGTGGTGAAAAGGAGAAGCATCAGGATGGTTGCATGCATTGCCAGATACACGTGTCCTCCTACTCTTACCTGCAATAATTGTGACGTTGCCAAGAATTTTTTTCTTTCTACGGATGGAGAAACTGACTTTTGCCCTTCCAAGGAGTCTGGGCAAATAACTGTACAATCCCTCAGTCGGTAACTCATACGGGAATTGCCCCACAAGGAACTCTGCATGCGAACGAATCAAACGACAGGATTAGAACTCCAACACGGCACATCACTGTCCAGAGACAAGGAAGGAGGTCTGCACATGGTCTTTCTACTCACCTCCAATTTCTGATAGTGCCAACAAAGCCTTCTTCTGAACTTGAAAAGTTTTGGTTGCGTTTTGGGCAGATGTTGCATTGGCGAGCTCAACCAATTGATCCCTGAAATCCTCTATCCTTCTTTCTCCACTTTCGCCTTTAATAATCTGAATCATGGTGTCCTCTTCCTGGTTGAAAATAGGTTCCAACTTGGAGCGTTTGGTATCCTTGCCATATTTGTTGCAACAGCGATGCCTTGTTAGACAACCAGGCAAGATGACATTACATTGTACCCACTCAATGGACCTACCACAACATTAATGCATTCTATGATAGATGCTTCAGCCTTTTTCCAAGTTGCATAATCTGCACAGCAGTGAATAGGATTGTAGTCAGAGCAGTGAATAAGCAGAGAATTGTTGATAACCAACCACAGCACTCACCCTGCGCATTACGTAGTGTCGACAGGGCAACCACAGATCGTTCCAACCCCCTAAAGACTGGGTTCTTCACCGGAAGCAGTTTCAGGAGGCATAGTTCACTAGTCAGATCAATTTGTGCAAGGCTGGCTGTCTCTCCTTGAAGAGATTCGCTGGCATTCTTGTCGCCTCCTACAAAAAATACCCCTTTCTTTGTGTCACCTCTCCCAAATGGAAGGGCCGAGGCTTCATTTTGATCACTCAAACAAAAGGGGGTTGCAAGACCAATGCCAAACAGGAAGGAGCGGCGGTACGGGTCAAAAGTTTCAATCTCGTCTTTGATGGTTGTGTTGAGACAATCCAGCTGTTGATTGTTGATTCGAGATGAAGAGCATGCCACAGCTCTTCGCGTGATGCCCGGTAATTGGGAGCTTCGAAATGCTACAAGAAGCCAAGGAAGCAGTGATGAAGACAAAACGGCCAATAACCAGCTCCTTGTCATTGTCATCCGTCTGTTCCTAAACGGCCAAGTCAGGCAACAGAGCAGAGGTTTGATGAGAACACGGGAGATTATTATGTGGAGGTATGATCAGTAGCGGTAGGAGTGTGTGGGTGGCGGGGGTCGAAATGTTGAAAACGAAACGGCCGCTAAAGATCCCTTGGGTTGATCAGTGACTGATGGACACTAGGGACTGCTACTAGTGGTGCACTGACGTGATGGATCTTCAATCCACGAATGAATCTTCTGCGCCACGAGCCAAGGTGCAAGATTTCACTCCCAAGGTCAATTTTACTTGGATGTCTACCCGTCCACAACAAACAAGAACAACAAAGCATCCCAAAACGACAAACAAAACCACGCAACATCATGGGGTGCATGTTTTGCGTTCCGAAGAAAGATAAAGCGAAAGCGCAGATCCTCTTGGACGAAGCGAGGCACTATGATCCGAGCCAAACAGACGTCCTTGGATACACGAAGCTTGGGTTCGTAAAACCTGGAATCGATTCTGTCGAGGTCGACGTTGGGTTCACATACCTCTTGTCTCAATCCTTTCCAAAGTGGCTGGTAAATGTGATCGACAAACTGTCTTCCACAGGCTTCAAACAAAACCCAAACGAAGAGAAATACGAGGAGCACACCGTGGATATTCTGGATGCTCGGAAGCGTGACTTGAGGTTTGAAGATGCCGGGTTTACCCTGGTCAGCATGAACGAGCCGAGCAAGACCACTGACTGGAGATCTAAAAACGACGTCAAGAAGTTTCAAGAAGAGATTCGACCAGAATTGTTGAGGCTTCATCCTGGTGCCACTCGAGTCGAATTCACCTACAGCGTTGTTCGAGGCGGAAACAAGTTGGGTGACCAACCAGCTGCAGTCAATATGGCCCACCTGGACTACTTTCAAGACGATCAAGCAAGAGTTGAGTTTCATGAAGAGTATCCTGTGAACGAAAAAGTGACAGAGCATCTTGCATTGCTAGGAAGATGGGACACTGAAGAAGACGAAGTCAGGGCAATGATCGGCATATGGAAACCTATCAATATGAAGAATCCAGTATATGATCACCCGTTTGCGATGATGGATGCCCGGACATTCCACCCAGAGAACGAAGTTCAGCAACCAGTGCACTTTGATATCGGTCTTTTCAAGTTGCATAACCTGAATGGCGCCTTCACATATCACGAAGGCCAACGATGGTACTACTATTCGAACCAGGTTGAGACAGAAGTTGCGGTGTTCACCCACTACAGTAAGGGAAAGCATTTCGCGAACCCACATACGTCTTTCCTGAACCCCAATCGTCCTATTGACTCCTCCGAATATGACAGTCGGCAATCTGTCGAAATGAGAGCTGCTGTCTTCTTTCCCAAGGAAGTGACGAGCACTGTCGCCCACTGATACCGTAGCATTTCGGTAGCTAGAGCTACGTGCAGCTACTGGTACCAGTTAGCTATGCATATGGTACCATCGATTGCCCCAAGCCAAGATTCTTTTCCAACACTTTTCTGTCACTGCCAACAAAACTCAATTTGCATACTCTCAAATAAACGTTCTTCATGCAGACCCAATACTCTATTGCCATTGTGAAAGCTACCCATTTGTGTCTCTGTGGATCCCGCAAAGCCAAGCCCTTTGGCCGCCTACTCGTACTGTACTCTGAACCCCCTTCTAGCTAGTAGATACATGACATGTAGTTGATCAGCGATCAGTGATTGTGGACTGCCGGAAGTAGGGACTGGGGACTGCCCATCATGCATGCACGAATGATTGAACTTCAATCCACGAATGATTGAATCAATCCTCTCATCGCCTTCTTCGAGGTTTGGAGGCTCTTCCAACTTCCAACACCCTCCGTTGCTGATGATGAGCATTATAAAGTGTCGACGGACTTAAACTTGCATAACAATACAATGAAGGCTCCAACAATGTCCAAATGCCACCACAGTAACAGATGCCTGGTTTGGGAGTTCGTTCTTCTTGTGTTGCTCTTAGAAATCACCCGTGTTGACAGCTTTTACTTACCTGCCGGTGATTATTACTGTCACCCAGAAGACGTGTGTCCTCCGTGCCCTGCCTGTCCTGAACGTGAGTGCCCTGTCTGTGCTGAGCGTGAGTGGTCCAGGTTTTTTGTTGTTTTCGGAAACTTCGTTGCTTCATTTGTTTTTGACGATGATGAATCTTCTAGGTTGCAAAATGAGCCATGCACTATCTGTCATAAATCTATTTGTCGCGCTATACCTCACCATATTCTACTTTGCTCTGATTTTCTTCTCTTCCGGATGGAAAACCTACAAAGAGAGGATCAAGCAAGTCCTGTTGAGATGGTTTCTCCATTGGTCGGACACTGTCGAAGTATTGGCCAGGAGCTTTGCACTGGGTTTTGGGCTTCGCATGTTGAAATACATTCTCTGGGAAGACAGCAGAACGATGACAGTAAACAGCAGCACTGCAGAGGAAGCCAACAACAGCAGCATCAATGACGAAAGAGACCCAGCCGAGATAATGCTGCGGGCTTTGCCGTCCCAAATGAAGATTGCATCAATATCGGGGTTGTCCATGTCAGCTCTTATATTTGGCCTTTCATTGTTCCTGCCCACAAACTTCCGATCCAACTGGTTTCAGGATCATTCCGATAGGGTGTAGTCTAGTGCTAGACTACACTGTATGCAGAAAATTTGTAACCTAAGACTATACAGAAGGCAGTCTCATGCAAGATATAGCTACTGGTACCTGGACCAGCATGTCGGGGAAGCATGATGATACCAACTAATCCTTCACTGATCATCATCTTAAAGCCCTTGAAAAGCAAGCAACGCGGCTAAAGCTGCTTCCAACCATACTGAGAACAACTCCAGGAGACAGACTACTGTTACGATGTTACCTTCTGCTGGGCTGGCTCCTGGAAAGTTGTCCTTCAAGTTCTCATCTCAGAAACAACCAATGATTGAGAAGCGGACTGGGTGGACGTGCCTTGACTATGTCTCTACTTTTTAAACATGTCGTTGAAAAGCTCTTTGAAATCTCTTTTCTCCTACTAATAGTGGTACTGATCCACATCATCCTCATGCACTCGACAACGGACATCAATGGAAAATGGTCTGTGCGTGCAACCACTAAACATCTTGCCGGCATTGAGGAAACGAGCCTTGCTGCAATCCCTACCAATCTTAAAAGGCTGCATGTCGCATTTCACATTTGGTCCAGTGTGGACGGTGAGTGTGAACTTGCCTCTGCGTTGAAAGCGTGTGGCCGCAGTCAAGATATATTCACCTTTTTCCAACGCAAATGCAGATCCAACATCCGAGCGCAGCAAACAATTTGTCTCCCATATGTGATGGCCGTTGGTGGGGCATTCATACTTGTCACCATCTCGCCTTTGAAGAAGTCGAAGCTTCAGTCCCAGCAGATCTTGCGTGGATCCTTTTCCACGGGCTGGGATTTGCGAGACCATGGTAGTGATCTGAGCTCCAGGCGTGTTGTTTTTAAGGTGGATGGCAAAAGTTGGACCAAAGTCTTCCAAACATAAACCTCGACAGCTGAGCGTAGATTTGGAATCCATGACGAAACTGACGCCTCCTCTACAAAAGTACTTGAAGACATCATTAAGAGTCATCCAAAAGATGCCATCGTCTTGTTTAGTGTATCCCATGGCCTCCTTATCATGCTCATGGATCTGATCCCACAGCGGCGAATTGTCACCAAAGTCGCCCCTAAACTCACCACGGGCATTGCCCCATGGATTGCGGATTTGCAACAGACGATATTCATTACCATTCATTGCGTTAACTCGACGCACGCCCAGAAGTGTGTAGGCGTGGCCTGTCTCAAGTCCCATGCGTTGGTACATTTTGTGCAGCTTGGCAATCTCGTGACTCTCTGCTTTTCGATCCATGTAGCCAGACATATCCTTTCCAGGGGTACTGAGGCACATGACAAAGCGTTGCTCGTCCCATTGGGTCAACTTGGCAAAGAAACTGTCTAGGTTCATTTCTAGTGGGCCATCCTCGTCTTCGCTGTCCTCTTCTTCGTCCCACGAGCCTGGCTTGGCGGCATCGGACAATCGGACAAGTTCCGTGGCCTTGTCAAAGACGAACGCCGTGCTGGGGTCTTGTGTCATTTCGGTCACAGCCTGCAGGGTGCGCCCGTTTTGCAAGTTTCCGTAGCTGCCATAGACCTTCGCAAATGCTTTTTCCAAGATGGCAACCCACAGTTCATTGTCTTCCTGTTTGTTGGTCGCAAACATTGGCTTTAGGCTCTTGTCACACACTGGCAAATAGTCGTCGACAACGACGTACTTCCAAACACCAGCGCGGTTGAGTCGATTCACGTATGCGCCAACGTCATTACCGTAAGTGAGATTGCCATCCAGACCAAACAGAGCCTTGATTCGGTAGCCATTCTTTTGGTCTGGCTGCTCTTCCACCAATCCAGCAATGCCTGCCATGAGCCAACAGTTTCCCAAAGCACCTTGATCGGTATCGTTGGGCTCCATTTTGCGGACAATGAGTTGTTTGGTCTTTTCGCTGTATTCGTTCTCATGCCTCTTCAGGTACATTTCAGGGGGTAGCCACACTGGATCCTTTCCATCCTTTCCAACCCGGTTGGAACATGGTATCGACGAAGGGAGTCCCCTCGTCCACACAGCGCTTCAAGGCATCCAATTGCCAATCAAAACGGTCCAAGTCGTCCATATCCTCTTCCCATTCTGATTCCAGAAGATCAGGTTCCTCCACAACTTTTTTCATGCTCTCAACAAGGTGATGCCATACATTCATGACCTGCGACCGAAGTGCCTCCAAATATTCTTCGCTCAAGTTTGAATTTTGCCAATTGTAACCACACGTGTGGGCTTTGGAGCCATTGGCCACCAAGACCTTTTCCTTGGGAAAGATGTTCATTCGAATGGCAAACCTGGATTTTTCATTGACAGTGTCCAAGACCTCGGCTCGTCCATTCTCAATCATGTCACAAACCTGTTGGGAAATGCCCAATTCTGGACTATACAAATCATATTGATATTCTCGATGAGTGGTGTTGTTGTAAAAGGCGTGAGCTGGTTTGCTGTTCAAGTGGCCTTTGCACCAAATTCCGTGGCCAGCCTCTTTGTTGCTGAAAACATCCTCGACATTTTCCAGTTCGTACCACCATTTGTAGTCATTCTCGTAAGGGAATAGTTATGGGGAAGAATTCGAGGATGATTATCCTGATTTGGAGCCAGTGCTGAAACACATGATGATGGTATACTTTCGCGTGTGCTGATAGTGGTGAGGAGACGAGATTTGTGAAAGAGCTCGATCGATGGTCGGCTAAAGTAATTTGTGGCCCTGTTTTGCTAACCGCAGAGCTGGCTATCCAGGGAACCACCACTGGAAAAGAACCGTCATTGAAGCAAACTATGAGTCTCAGTCACAGCACTGACCCCATTGCCACGTATTTACTGTAGTTTCTAATTGTTTGCTCTGGGTTACTGTTCTGGGTTACTGATACCGGTACCTTTGTGGCTTGATATGAGCCACAATGTATGGCACTGATATCCTAACTCAAGGGAACTGCTAGCCAAGGCAGGTATCGGTAACCAGCCAACATGGGTAATCCAGCTGCAAGAACTGACTTGCTGACTGGCTGATTGACCCACAGAAAGCACACAGCTGGTACAGTACCAAGTAGAAAAATGCAATCACATCAGTACAATATGGTAGTAATGGCTGCTGGTGCAGGTCTATTGAATATGAGCGTTGTAGTATAGTTCGTCGCTACTAACCATAGAATGACGATACTCTGTATCTTTCGTAGTCCTGAATACTGTTCACAGTTACTTTTCTTCTGAGGTCCAAAACAGAGAAATAATCAAAAGTAGGTTCTGATGTTGGGCCTGGTGTAAACAAGAGATGTGGGGAGGACCCCAAGCTACCAGTAGTGGAATCTGGGAGTGGATCAACAATCCTCCTAAGGCCAGTCCCAGCTTCTGAAGTTGGGTCTGGTATTGATCTAGATGTGGGAGTGGGAGTGTTTCCCAGCTAGTAGGGACAGTATCAAGGTAGATCCTCTATGAGTTGGCATGATAGGTTCAGATGTGCCAGCTACGGCACTGTAATAGACCAGACGAGGCAAGGCATTTTATGCATCCAGCATCGAGAAAATGTGGCGGGGAAGTTGTTGCCTCCCTTTTTCACCTCTGCGAAGCCTCTTTTAGGAAAAGATTGACTTCCCATGTTGTTTTGTGACACTATTTCCATGGGTGATTTATGGAGCAGCTTGAGATTGCTTGTGCGCTCCTAATTACAAACAGCTGGAATGACTCTTTGTAGAGCGGCACGAACCTTTCACATATTCGCGTGACCTATCAAGATCAAAAGAAGCAGTGAGAAAGCTTTCTTCGGCACGCAATCATGCAACTGAGCATTACACACGGCTTTGAAACCATCGCCGAAGGCAACAACAAAATCTTTGCCTGGGGTTCATTTTTGGTGATTCTTCGCCTCAATTCGTATTGCTATTTCATTATCCTCATTGCAGGTTCTCACTTTTTGGAAATTCACTCCTCCATTCGCAATGTGCCTCTCGAATCCATCCACCGCCGGGGAAGAACTGCGGCATCGCAAGAGTGGTAGTGTGAGCCCCACCAGTGTCATCTCCGAAACTTCCTTTCCCATCCAGCAATTGCAAGAAAAAGAAGAAGTCAAGCAGCAGAAACCCACAAATGTCCGCGATAAGAACGCCATTCAAAAGCTCTTTACCAGCAAAGAAGAGAGCCATGTCTTTCACGTGCACAAGATTCTGGGTGTCACGGCGTTGATCTCCTACGTTTACCGATTTGCTCATCTGGGAGACAACGATGGCAACTTTGGACCCAATATCGGAACCCTTGTCTTTATCTTTCACCATTGGTTCTTGAATGGCAGCAGTTTCGTCTTTGCCATTCCACATCGCCGCATTCGGGATGGCGGATTTCGGATTTGGCCGGAATACAGGTACGAAGAAACAATTCGAGTCCAGGGTATCCAAGATGCATGGTCCTTTTTGTGTCTCACATCAACTGTTTCATTCTCTATACTTCTTGCAGGTGGCACTCTTTGATGTTTGCCACTCGCAACTTGGCGGGGATGCTCTTGATCTGGTACGAACAAACACGACAAGTTACCCAACCCCACTACTTTATGGACTGGCTCATTGTTCTGGGCACGTGTGCCGGTGCAGACTATGGATCCTATCTGCAGGGGGATTCCCGTTCCAATACCGTTCGAGGGACGACCTACAGCGACCCCTATGGCAAATGGTTTGCGTCTGAAATGCAGTTCAACTTGACCGCGCTCAGCTTGATTGGAGCACGACGCTACACCATGCATCTCGTAGGAGTCGTCATCATTCAATTGAATAGTTTCCTCATGACACTGCGTCGCAAAAACGTGGCGTCTCATGAAGTACTCACGGCGGGTTATGGACTCTTGTTGGTGATTGGATTCTGGATTGGTGTCATGGAAGATGATTACACCGAACTCATGTATCCGGTCGGCACCATTGGCAGTATGGCCGTGATTCTGCGCATGGGACCACTCCATCTGAACAAGTACATCTTGTGGACGGTACTGTGGTTGGCTCTGCACGTTATTCGTACTTACGACTTGGTCCATGTGGGATACAATGTCTTTTGGCTCTGTGCTTTTGTGGTCACCAAATTCATTGCCACGGCGTTGGGTATGCGCAAACGGAGCCAGGAGTTAAAGGCCACAAGCAACGATGGTTCCATGGTGCAGAATCGGATGGTTTATACTGCCTTTATCAGCTATGCTTTCCTCGGGGCATACATGTACTACCGAAACATCTACTTGGAAGAATTGTGGGAGGAGTAAAAACAGAACAATCACCTCATCGTTGAACCAACAGCAATCGGCATCGATGAATCATTTTAGTCTGTGGAGAGCACTCTGGCGTTTTGAAGGCTGGACGTTTGTAGTATAACTTTTGTAACGGGTAGTATGCATAGTACGGTAGTTGCACATGGTCTCCGCAACTAAGACATTTGTGTGTGGGTTCTGCGCACTCTGGGAAGGGGGCATTGGGGTTGAATAGAAGGTTCTATCGACATGGCTACTAGCTAGCTAGGTAGCTGCACCAACGCTCATTCAGGCTGCACTCTTCCGGTCCACAGCAGCTCTACTAGCACCCAAGGCCCCCTGTCATAACTGGCATATCCAACCTGCTGGTCTCGACTGTTGCTAAGTACTAGCAGTTTCAGACTCTCCTTTTGGCTTGGTGGCAAGTCGCTTGTAATCCCATTTCACCCGGACGGGAGGAAAGGTTCCCTTTCGAAGTTCCCGGATCGTCTCTTGTATTTGACTCTGTGTGTTCATCACAATAGGTCCATGCCACACAATGGGTTCCTTGAGTTTCTTTCCCGCAAACAAGAGTGCCTTGGCCCCCTCTTCTTTTGACGCAACCAATTCCATGCCCCTATTTTCGTCAGAAGACGCGTCAAACAAAACAATCTGTCCCGACTGAATGGCAGATTCCTCCTTGTTGTTGACAGTGGCCATGGTCCCTTCGTAAATGTAGAGCATTGCCGTATCCAGCCCTTCCGAAATGAGATCGAGACAACCGGTAGTGCTCCCAGCTTGTAGTTCCAAGTCAATCATTTGAACCTCTTGCGATGTCGCAAAGGGCCCAGTGATATTCTGAAAGGCATGCCCCGCCAAGACTCGCGCTGTCACTCCCGGTGCCACATCGACCAGTGGCAAATCTTGTGTGGGGACCGTCCCATAGCGAGGATCGTCCATTTTGCGTTCCGCAGGACAATTGATCCAAATCTGAAACCCCTGTACGACTTGTCCTTTCTCATTGCCTCCTCCTTCGGCGTGGACGACACCCGATCCGGTCGACATCCATTGCATTCCGGGCGTTTCAAAGGTTTCTCGATTCCCGAGGCTATCTCCATGACGCCCAGTTCCACTACGGAGATAACTGCAAATATCAAATCCACGATGGGGATGCCAATCGACGGGAAATTCGTCCACATCGGCCAATCCCTTGTCTTCTTTGGAATGAAAGTAATCGCACATTAAAAACGGATCGGCGGCCGTGGTGTCAATTCCCGCCGGAAATGCTTGTTTGACGGATCGTTCATCGCCAAACGGGTGAGTGATGCCCTCTTGGGCAATGCGAAGTATATCCATCAAGCCCATATTGGTTGCTCAATAATTTAATTGTTTCTTGCTTGCTGGTGGTCTATTACTCTTGTCTTCGTCTTCGTCGATTGTGCTGTGAGGGTTGTTTGATGATGGATAACGGATGCTGTGCCTGAACCCTAAAAAGATCCATCAGAAAATCTTTCCCCGCCACAACGCCAACGGCTCATTTCTCATCTCATTTCTCAATTGGTCATGATCACTGGAGGGCATGGCGTCCTTGTCGCTGGTGTCTGGAGATAAGCAGAAGAAGGCAAGAAAGAGAGACAAGAAGCGCAGTGTTGCTGGTGTGTTGGCCTTGGTGTTTGTGGGATGGTTCTTCTTGCAGTGGTTCTTGGTAGGAACCGTGGACCAACAACAGAAAAGAAACAAGGTTCCAGATACTCCCCGAGACTTGAAGGCAGAAACTACTAGTACGAGTACGAGAAAGGTTCCATCCAGTGCAGACGACACTACAGACTTCCACATTGTCTTTTCGACGGATTGCAGTGGGTACCAACATTGGCAGGGCATTCTCTTGTACTATTCGGCCGTACGAGTCTCTCAACCAGGCACCATTACACGAATTGCGTCGGGCTGTACTCCCGAACAGCAACAAGCCATAGCTGCCGAATGGAGCCGTTTGGATCCCACCGGCAAACGCTTTCAAGTCCACTTTGCTCCTTCCACGGCACTCGAACATGAAAAGTACAAATATTCCAACAAACCGGGTGGCATCTTGCACTGGTTGCAACATCACAGCAAACTCGATCGAAATGCCGTGGTGTGCCTCTTGGATCCCGACATGATTCTATTGAAACCTCTGACGGCGCAATTGGTGGATCCCTCCTGGAAGACACGAGCCCACGGACGAAATCAAGTGGAATACTTCAATCCCACTACGGGCATGGCGCAGCTGTTGCGCGTCAAATCACTTGCAAACGACGACAATATGCCCGCCCGTGTCACGACGGGATTTCCGGCGGGACAACATTTTGGAATTGGGGGAGCCTGGGTGCAAGGAGAGAGTCCTTCGGCCAAACCCGCTTGGAAAAACTTTTCCAAAGCGTACGTCTGTGGCAACGGCCGGGTGTGTACTACAACGTCGTCCGCGGAAGCATCGCAGCGCTACGCTGTCGGACCCGTCTACATGGCCACCGTAGCCGATTGGGAACCCATTGCGGCGACGTGGTGGGAGTTTGTTCCGCGGGTCCACGAACAATATCCCTTTTTGTTGGCCGAAATGTACAGTCTGACCATGGCCGTGGCCAATCTACAAATCCCATTTTCACTCTTTTCCAGTTACATGGTCACGGGAGCCGATGTCGGTTCGCCCACAGAAGCATGGTCGTGGATTGATGACATTTTCGCCAAGAATAATAATAAGGATCCCCTCCAAGTAGTCTGTCCTGATATTGTTGACAAAGATCAACCACCACCACTACCACTACCCACAGCCAACAACATGCCTCTACCCAAAACACTTCATTATTGCCAACGCTACAAGATGGACTTTGACGACAACAGTAACAACAACAAGCAGTCGTTTTTGTTTTCCAAACGCAAAATGCCTCACACTGTCTTTTCCTGTGACAACAATGATGCACCCGTACCATTTGATATGCAAGAGTTGATTCGACTCGCCAAAGACAAGCAACAACAATCATCGGAATGGACCACCATAGAAAAGAGGACCTTGTTTGCCTTTTGTCAGTTGGTGCCCCTACTGGACTGGGCGAGAAAGATGTACCGAGAGCAAGTGTGTGTGTGACGACACAATAGAACCCACAAGGCTGTTGCAGCCCAAAGCTTGTTGGTTTTGAAATGATTCAAATCCTCTCGTTGTTCGAATTTTGGTGACATTTGGCTGACTGCCAACAATGTAGCTATGTCCAGTGGTCAGGGAAGTCGGGAGGATGAGGATGAGGACTACGACATGAAAACATGACAATCCGCAAATCGGGCTATCACTTGCAAGCAGCCAAACAACAAGGAAGGTCATGTAGTATATATCCAGATACAAGAGTCCATCTATCTTGTCATCCCGGGCTGGCCTGTGTCCCCGTGAAAGGCCATCTGCAGCGACTGGTCGGGATTTCAGATGCGCTCTTCAATCGCCCAAGATGCATAGGCTGGCAACAGAAGAATCAGATTCCATTCAAATACAACAAGCTACCTCATTTTAAGAAGACTACAAAGGCGCACTAGCTTCATCCTCTTGTTTCTTGACCCCGCCGAAAAGGGCAAGGATCAAGTACTTGAGATAGATATCCACGTGTTGGAATCCACAAGATCTCAGCCATTCGCATTGAGTTTCCGCAGACACCACGATGTTTGCTTCAGCATCCACGTTCAAATCATAGTACACGGCTTGCTCACATTCTTCATAGGTCTTGGCGCCTTCAAAATGGCGGTGCATGGAATCCACAAACGCCCCGTCAAATATCTTTTCGACTTCCAGCGACGGAGACGCCACATGCTCTAGATTTAGGAATACACCACCAGGAGACAACATATCGTACAACTCTTGATACAGAGCCTGCTTCCGTTCGTTGGTCAAATGATGAATGGCAAATCCAGACACAATCGCATCCACTTTTGGTTGCTGTTGGTTCAGTGCCTCCATCCAACGAGGACTGGAAAGATCTCCTTGCACCAACGAAACACGATGGGTCATGCCCATGGCATCAATTTTGGACTTTGCAGTCTCTAACATGGGTTCTGAAAAATCCAAAAACGTTCCTTGGGAGTCTGGAAAGGCCTCCAACAGCGCTCTCCCGAGAGGACCATCGCCGCAGCCAAGGTCCAGCCAGGTAAAGGGGCGAGCGCCGCCGTTTGGCTGGTGGAAGGTTTTAATGATCCGGACCATGAGATCCAGCTGTTCTTTTGCCAAGGGCACCGATTCACGGATATCTGTAAAAGCATTCGCAACCTCCTTTTCTTTCCACACAGCGGCAGGGTCTAAAATGGCGTCTACCTCATTATTCGGCGCTGTTGCCGACCGAATAGGCGACTCTCCAGGTACCGAGATACTACCACATGTAAGCCCAGACATATCCATCTTTGTCACAAAAGCAGCCACAGACAGCAATGCAGGGCGCAGGAACATGGTGGTGTCGAGAGCAACCTGCAATCGCACCGAGACAAAATAATGAGATGGTGTCAGACCGTGATAAAAAAGATCCATCCAAACTAACTCGAAACTGGTGCAGGACTGAGCGTCTCTACAGCTCTACAGATAGATGGTTGTCTGGAAGCTTCTGGATCACAAGCCTCAAAAGACCCGTGTTGGGGATTCGCGATTAGGGATTCAACCTGTACCTCTGTACTAGAATTTGATGCCAGTAGTAAAAGCTGGTAGCCCACACCCACTTTTTCAGTAGTATCTCAATAGACAACAGGAGCGTTCCTCAATCGTGCATGACTTATTATCGAAAACCGACCCTAATTTTGGGTCGGATTTAGGGACGGATTCCCCTTTAGGGTCGGGTTTCGAAACCGACCCTAAAATTAGGGACGGATTCTGAAAAAACGTCCCTAATTTAGGGACGGGTTTCGATTTAGGGGCGGGTTTGAAAACCGTCCCTAAATGGAAGCGGGACTGAGTGGTAAATACATTGAAATCCGACCCTAAAATAGGGTCGGGTTTCGAAACCGACCCAAAAATTAGGGACGGATTCTGAAAAAACGTCCCTAATTTAGGGATGGGTTTCGATTTAGGGGCGGGTTTCAAAACCGACCCTATTGCTACATGGAATTAGGGTCGGGTTTCAAAGATTTAGGGTCGGATTTGGGTCGGATTTAAAACTCACCCACGATTGAGGGACGCTCCAGTAACAACTAAGAGAGCTTAGAGCAACTAACATACTACTGAAAAAGCGGTCTACTATCGAGTCGAAGTGAAGAGGAGCCTATCGAAGCAGTCAATCGGTAGCAGGAAGATCGCGACGCGAAGAGGATCGAGTATCGGCCGAAGACGAACGCCGATCGCGACGACGCGACGAGTAGAAGACCGTCAAGGAAGACGACCGATAGAGACCAAGCCTGTCGAAGACGACAGCAACCAGTGAAGTCTGTTGTTCGACGTTCGAACGGCAGCAACAAGAGAAGAAGCCTGTCGAAGGATCAACAGCACCGCGGCAACGGATCCGAGAACGGATCGCGACGACGCGAGAGGAGACTGCAGCCAACGACGCGAGTATCGGTCCATGGCAACAGCAAGAGTTTCATCAACAGAATCCACAAGGATTGTCGATAGGAGAGCCGACAGCATCCAGCCGGAACTGTCAGAGCCAACAACAAGCGCGAAAGCCATAGTGCCAGCGCAGGGGCCAAAGGACGGGCACCCAACAAGGAATCAACAATACAAAGAAACGGGTTCGGAGTGGAAACGACCGCACAGTGTGTGAAGCAATCGTTCCCTCCCTGCAAGATCTTTAGTAAATAGATTTAACACTCCCTAGCCAGGAGTATAAATTTGAAGTTATCGCCCCATAGCCAAAAGACGAATAAGTAGTCGGACGAGAACTTAAATTAAAGAGCTAGTCAATCAAAAAACAACGAATTGAAATAGTCCACCTACCGTAGCATAGACAATGAGCGGTAGAGGTAAAGGACGAGGTGGCCGAGGAGGCGGCAAAGCACGAGGGCATGGAAGAACCAGTCCATCGTCGAACCAGCAGAAAGGTTCATGCAAAGCCCTCGACCAACATGTGTTTAACTTCGGTACAACTGGATCTGGAACGGCAGACCAGATGATACGCACATGGGAGAAGATCGTCATCCACGTTGGACAAACGATGGGTGACGACATGAGCAATGAGCTACGCAACCTGACAAAAACACAGTGTTGGTAGCACCGGTGTACTCAGAGGAGACCCGGAACAGGCTTGAAACGGCGAAGGTACGACGTGCAGCAAACAATAATCGTCTCCTATCGGCAACCCAAGCAAGCCTACGGCTACTAGAATAGAGATAACCGCAGTCACCAATGACCCGACTCTCGG